CGACCAATCCGGCTGGACAAGTCCATGTCAGCTTCCCAATTGGCCTTTACTTCCTCTATCTCCTTTTGCAAATCTGCATTCTGGAGATTCAGGTTGCCAACTTCCCTCTTGGATTTAAGGTTGTTGGCGGTAAATTTATCATTTTCCTTCTTCAAGTCCTCTAGATCGTTGTAAAGCCCCTGCGAGTTGGGTTAAAGTTAATACATAAGTGGGGGTGGTCGATTTGGTTACTTCATTGAGTATGGGGACGAGGGATACAAGCAGCTACAAATAGCATAAGAAATCCACTATTAGAGAAGGGGAGTACTTACTTTATTACCAGACAGCTAGAAGAAGCATATATACCCGAGTCAAAGCCTTGGTCGCATACGACGCACGACCTGGCCGATTTTTCCCCCATTGTTGCGTCTCTCGAGCAGGGAGCACATTAAAGAGGTAATCTATCACCTCAACCGCGTCGGGATTGGAGACAAGTTGGTCGGGCACAACCAATTCGATCTCCCCGACACATTGCTTTTTTTTTTAGCTCCTTGAGGGAGTAGAACTCGACCTCTTCTGTTGTGTCGATTTTTGAGTTGGCGGAGGGGGAACATGAATGGTGGGTTTAGGAGTGGGCTGGAGGTGTCCAAGCTCGCTTATGGCCCCCTAAGGACCAGCCTCAGAGGACGTCTGGGAACCTTTTGCCTTGCCGGAGGTAGAAGGGCATTTCTCTTTGTTGCTTTAAGTGGTCGACTTCATCGATCTCAGCAATTCTTCTGCAAAAACACACAAGGCGAAGATTAGGGAGTATAAATATCCAAAGAATAAACATAAGAGACTGTTAACCTACCAAGTTCGGTGTTAGACAAACGAAGATAGGGTCATTTGTTAAGACCACAATGAAAAAGAAGTTTTTCATCATCGACCATCATGGAGGAATTGATCTTGAATTCGTTCCATCTCTCGATCAGGTGGTCGAACACGGGATTACGTTAGGACGGCGCACATGAAAGGGTTTTTGGGTGATCCATTTTGATGAGAAATGAAGAAGTGTAGAGAGACGAATGTAAAAAAATCATGTTCACCAGCCAGGGATATTACTGGCTAGGTTTCCTATGAAATCAACCCCCGCTTCGAGCGGCTATGTAAAGAGTTCTTCCTAACATCTTAGCTTCAAAGCAGTACTTAAAAAACTTGGTGTCGAGGAAACCCAATTGACAACGACAGAGTATAGTAAAACACACAAGATATTTTATGGAATTTATTGAAAGTTGATTTATTGGGAGATCGTATACGGCACACAAGTCTAACAAATCTTGGCGAAGAGGAAATCTGAGGCCAGTATGTATTTGGTCTTGGAAAAAAGTGTAACAGCCAGTGGGAGGCTTCTCATAAACATCGAGGGGTTGAGGAGTAATCCAATGCCAATCCGTAGGTAGTCCAATAAGAATTTGGAAATGTTTGAGCCATGTCTCATCAGCAATGAGGAAGGCACTGGGCTTTCGAGCCACAGTAACCATATCTTGTGGGGTCCTGATAGTGGCACTCTCAATAGGCCTACCCGTAGGGATGGTAGAAGGCAGAGAAACTCTAAAGAGAGGAGAAGAGCTGTCTTCGTAAGATTCATCTATTAGGCGAAGAGGTCAACGAGGCATAGAAGAGGGTCGAGTACTGGTTTCAGGAAGAGCAGAATGGAAAATTGAGCGGGAGTTGGTCGAGGGAGTTGAGGGGAGGGTCATATCCCCGCCGACAAAGCCTGCATCAGAGTCAATGGTCGCGCTGAAATCTAAAAAATAAAAAGAAGAAAAAATCAAAGAAATGAAAATTTGGTAAGGTGGAGGAAGTCGGGGGAAAAATTGAAGAAAGTAATGAGAGGAACACATGAAGTTGAACATACGTACAAAGTATAAATAAAAAAGGGTAAAATACATGGAAGTAAGAGACTTATTAATGGAAGACATCTTTGCGACAAGGAAGAGCGGCGATTAGCAGTGGTCGAGAATGAAGCTCTAGCGAGAAGAAAAACGCGTTGGTAAACAAGAAAGATGAGAATATTAGGAAAATTGAGCGAGAGTAAAAGTAAATAAAGAGATGGCGGTATGGTTTTTATAGAGAAAAAGAGGACAATTGGAAGAGGTGTGTTGCTCCTAGCCGTTTGATTGAGGAATAGTAGACGGACAAGATGGATGCCTGAGTAGTTGAAACAATGGGTCGAGTACAGCCATTAGATCTAGAGGGAATGGACGGACTAGATGAAATCGAACAACTGATGGGATTTGAGAAAGGGAACCATTGGATTTGAAAGGACATGAGTGGATCAGATTGGGTACACTGCATAAGACAAGCATAGACTGCAAAGGGTTGCAGATTGATTGGACGAGTGTCAGAAATAACGTGTGGAAGGGATAATAAATCAAATTTTGAATTTTTTGGACTTAAAGGGGAATATGCAGTTCGAAGAAAACATAAATAATTGAATACCAAAAAAAAAAGAATCAAGGTCGGTGTTGCAGGGCAAATAAGTTTTTAAGATCGTGACTATTTAATCTTGGATCGAGGCATTCTAGCTCGACCAGAGTGGGGGAGACTAGATGATCTGGGATAACCATACCAGGTCGATTTGATCAGAGAAACAACCGAACCGGGCCGGATGGACCACCAAGTGGAAGGAAGGATGGAGATCTTTCAGTTCGAAGAACCCTCATGTCGAAATAGATACCAAAGGCGCAGAGAATGCTCGGAGGTCGAATATCGATTCTCGGAGGACCTGTTCGTAGCACTCCGAAAGAGCATGTGGTCGAGGGATCGACCAAATAAGTAAGATGATCCACCTCGAAGAAATTGGGGAGAAGTGCAGGATTAAACCCTTTAATATGAGAAACTAAAGGGGATAAGAAGGAATCTTAGGAGAATTAAGTCCCACATCGGTAAAACCATGTGGCACCATTCAAATGGTCCACGCCTCATAATCGTCTCTGACAACCCGAAGGGTTCTGACAACTCTGACAACTGAGGCAGCTCACGCGCTTGCTACCCGGGAGCTCACTCGCACAACTTGGGCCCTAAAGTATCATTTCCCTATATAAGGGATTGAGGTATTGCCCCAAACACATTACATTCTCTATTATACATATTATATTACAGAGAGAGCTTTCTCTTCGCACTACATCTTCTACATTTACTCATTTAAACATCGAAGACTCTTCATCGGAGACCCCCTCCGGTGAAAGAGTTCTGCAGGTCCGGGGACATTCAACCGGCGACCAGCTCGAGATCTTGGCGTTTCCAGCTCGTTCTAGCCGGTCGGAGGTCTTTTTGATACCAGAATGCTATTGAGGCCTACTGACAAAATGACCTATTGTTAATTATGTAATTAGTATTATAATACTAATATAAATAATAATAATAATAATAATAATAATAATAATAATAATAATAATAATAATAATAATAATAATATAATATACATATATAATATTTATTTGGTACGGAAAGAATAAAACGGGACAAACTGGACGGTTCGGGATAAAAATATTGAAAATCGATACTGACATTGTTTAGAACGGTTCGGTGCCGAGAATGAAATAAAAATAAGTAAGACCTTTCGAAACCTTATTTTTCGAAACGGGACTATTTTAATCTGATTCGGTACGAAAAAATTTGTTTTTTTTTTTTGCCAGAC